CAGAGAAAGATGGCACTTGGAATGGTCATAGCCAGGTTATGAGTCAGAATTTAGATGGTGAGGTTGCCCAACCCCTCTTCTGAGTTCGAGTTGATACATGGTCAGGTTGCGTCGCTTCGTTAATGCTGAGGCCGATTGAACACGCAGATTTCTAAACGAAGGCCTAAACCTCGATCCAAAACCGCATCCGTATAGTCCGCAATATGTGAGCTGCAGCACAGACCAGATGTTTGGTTCCCAAGTCCGTGCTTCAAAAGGTGGAGAAAATGTCTTTTGTGCACCTCGTGGAGTGTAGCATGCAACTTGCTTTATTTAGCATGGGCAGTGCTTTAGTTTTTTAGGATATAGGGTTTGGGGCATCCTTTTATATTAATCCCCTGATTTCGGAAAACAGAGTCTCCTTCGAAAAGGAGGCTGGCCCTGAACTCAGCTAAGGCACCGTCTACCATGGATAGAACACAAACCTCTCATCCCCAAAACGATTCCCCATAAACATATTTAAGCCCTATATGATCCCTATAACCCCTATAGTTTCCATTTTCTTTTCCATTATCCCATTATCCCCCAAACAAATACTATTCGAAGGCTCCAGATCGCCCCATAATCGCTGCATCCCTCAGCCGCTCTTTTGACAGCCGCGGTTGGCGTGGGGTGCATGTCTGGGAACGTTTAAAGACTTAAAACATCTTGAAACCTTGCTTCACTAACCTGCACTGTACAACGAAGCAAGAGACGCTGACAAGGGCTTCTCAGCTGGTCAGCAGAAAGCTAAAGCTTCTGCTTAGCGGGCTTGACTAATTAATCATTATAAAACTATGATGAGGACGAACAGAGCGCTACGCTGACAGCTTCCGCTTCCTTCAGCAAATCCGAACGCCTGGCGAACTCGGCACAGCTGAAAGTCTCATCTGTCAGCAGGCGACATGCCATCCTGTCAATCGCCATTGCAGCAAGGCAAGCTTGAACAAAGCCATCTAGGAGGCTGTCCAGGGATAGGTTAAGTACGTCGAAAGCATCCGAGTCCAGCAGCATCAGCCGGGCCGTTTCGGTGACCAATCCATCCTCGGTTTTTACGGACAAATTGGTTCCCAACATGGACCAAGAGTCCTCCATGTCCAAAGACTCTCCCAGCGGGGAGCGAGCTCGACGAGCGTAGCACGCAAAGGGTCTGTAGCCGCTAGCAGTTGCTGCTAAGACCATGCGGCAGTCCATCACATAGCGGCTACCCTGCTCGTCGGGAAGTGTGCCTGTGTGATGAAATCGGCCTTGGTTTACATTGCCCACCAAGGATTGCACAATAAAACATGCGCAGTCATGCTTGATGGCGCTGAATCTCTTCAGCTCCTCCTTGCAGGTGATGGTGTAGACCCCCTGCCCGCAGCTAGAGCAAGGGTTCTTAATAACTGCACAATACTTCCAAGACCTTACGAGCTCAGGCACGTCCTCCAAGCTCACTCCCGTGATGGTGTCAGGTGTTCGGATAGCCAAACCACTACCCTCCAGCTCAGCATTAAGCTGAGCATATGCCAGGGAAGCTGCATACTTGTTGCGGCCGCCGGCAAGGCAGGCTATGACCCCGTTGAAGAGAAAGGTCTTGGTCACTATGGGGATTCGATTCCACGCTGACTGGGTAACATACCGGAACGCTGCGCGCACAGGAATCCATTCCCCGAGCAAGTTGGGCATCTCATTGTCCTGCACCCGGCTCGCCTTGATCTCCAAGACCCCATGCGTCCAGCGAACTGCAGGATCCACGTCTCCGTTCTTCCACTCCACGAAATAGCATGGCTCTCCCATGACATCCGCTATGGCACTTGCGTATCCACTTGCCTCCATCTCATTCTTGTCATAGATCACCGCCAACACGCCAGGAGGCAGCGAGGCCTCTCTTCTGCATGTCATTGGGGCAAAAGTCTCCGAGATCAGTCTATGGTAGTTTGTTGCTGTTGGAAGGAGCTCGGCTGCTGGCACAGACTTCTGACCGCTAGCCATGGAGTTGGTCTCAACAAGCATCATGTGCCTCTGCGTGCCGTCAGTGACATTAAAGAGGTCACAGCCTCCCCAGAAGAAATGGCGAGGTACATAGGCAAGAACCTCCTGCAGCTTATCGGTCTTCACCTCTGGGTGAAGCTGCGCATACTGCTTGATGACTTGCTCAGCTGTCAGGTCCAGGAAGGAGCCTAGTACCTTGTGCTGTTTGGCGACAAGTGCTCGGGCATAATAATGATTTTTCATACAGAACCCTCCGGGTTTCATGATCCAACACCTGCCAGGTTTGATGGATGGCTGGCGCACAATTTTGGACTGCTGCTTCAAGGCATTGGCGAGAACAACGTCATAGTCTGCGTTCGAGATCTCGTAACTTACTGAGGGCATGGGGGAATGCTCTGCGGCAATGAACAGCTTAGGCGATATGCCACATGGCATGAGCAATGAACAGCGAGGTTACCTATCTATTAAACTACTGAGCCAAACAGCAACGAGAAATGCAGCCTACTAGTTCCTGTTGGCGGCTTGTGCTACTTGTGCTGCAGGCCATCAAATCTCTGCACAAATTTGAGCTTGGAGCCTCCTGTGCATAAATCGGCGCCCGCGTTGGGGTCACGAAGATTACCTGTCAGTGGGCAAGGTTTTCTCTTGATGGCATGGCATCGAATCACAACAAGAAAGCTGGGCTCACCAGGTGGTTACTGTAGGAACAATACTCAAAAGGTGGGTAGTAACAGTCATATTACTTATAATCATTATAACTACTATGACTGTTACTATAATGGTACGTACGAATACTAATCATAGCATTTAATGGGTTGGGTGCTGGGATCCATCTACACAGTCATTGTCCAACTGTGTGACTCCCACGCAGGTGTGACTTCTGAAAAAGATGGTCTAGATCCTAAACCCTAAATTTTGGAAGCTACCCTTTGGTAGCTTCCACAAAGGGACCCCAATGTAGATCCCAATGTACACTAAACCTTCTTTTCGGTGCACCCCAGAAAGTATCCCTAATTTCTCGAAAGCCTCCATTAGCTGGCCAGACCTTGCACAACAAAAGCTAATGCCCAGGGGCCTGAATCTATATACCAATAAATGGTGGTATAAGGAGATAAAGGGACTGTAGAGGGCTGCATCGGGATTGTATAGGGGTATTGCTATACAGGGCTTAGGGGGATATTCTCCCAATGATGGAGGATCAAGTGGACAAGAACATAAAACATGACGTACATAATAGGGGTCTGCGTGGATTTGATGTAACAGCAAAGCGTCTCTGCTGCACCTTGGCAATTTCCATGTCATAGAGGCCTCGGCACTCAGAAGCGCAGCAGGTATTCGCAAAACCAGGAGCACAAGCGCTTAAACAAGTATTCACCGTAGCCAGCTTGCTGCGTCGGGCAGCAAGGCATCAGCAACTGAGGTTGTTGTGCATGCTTGGGCATTCCTTAAGCTCCGATTGTTGGCAAGTCCGGGCCACCTAGACTAAAGTCCAAGTCTTCAGTAAGGCATTTTCGTTGTTTTCAATTCTGCTACTCAATGCTGCTTACGCTGTTTGGGGGCCGCTCGCAGCAAAATTCACGATGCCTAGTCTTGAGGCCAGGCATTTGCGGATAATCTGTCGAGACTGCAGCTAAGAAATGCTGATGCCAGCTGAGAGATGGCTTTGAATTTCAACTTCAGACTGGCAAGGCAACGCTGCACACGGACTTGACGGCAACCCACCAACGACACCAGCAAAGGGAAGCAGTACAAGTCTCGTTTCGGCTGTAAATGAGGCGCCCGCAAACTGCAGTTGCGAATTGCAGCTTGATGCCAGCACCTTGAACGGGGATGGGCGAAAATGCGCCGACACAAAATTGGTAATTGTTTAGTTAGGCCCCCATAGTATTATGCCACTGAAGCTGCACCTCTCGAGGACTCCATGGGAATGACATCAGGTGGATAATAACAAGCACCTTGGCAAAAAGAAGCACCTGTTATGCTGCATGTCAGGAGATGCCGTAACGTAGGATGCTGCTCGAAGCGGGGTGCGTGTGCAGTTTCGCTGGACAACTTTCTTACACCGCTCTCTGTCTCTCTGCACATCTCCGCACACCCCATAAATTGACCTTCAACTTGCTTGGCTGGACTTCGAGCGCATCTGCCAAGGTGTGCGAGTGCTCCATGACTGGAGAGTCTTGTCTGCGACCCGTTTCCTTTATTGCCTATTATGACCCCATTATATACCTTATTATGCAGTAGCAGTTTCCAGTTTCTTTGCCAGTAGCCCAGTATCTCCCATATGTTGAACTTGTTGGACACCTGGCACCTGGCTTGAGCGGATGCAGTGAGGCTGGTGGGTCGCGTAGCAGCCGCCTGCCGCAACCGGCAGAAGCAGAGTCGCGGTTTAGGGTTTAAGGGTCAGGCCTGTATATTATATGCATGCTGCTTCACAGCAGATGATGCAAACATGGTTTGCATGAAGCCCTAAAGCCCGAAACCCTAGTTTCTTTACTTTCTTCCATCCCTTGAGACTTCAAACCCTAACTCGTAAACCTTAATTTGAAGTTGTCATTTTCTCTTCCATCCTCTATACTCATCACGATATATCCCTGCATACCGATTTATTGTAACCCAGGACCCTCCTTGTACCCTTAATTTCGGATAGGTTTAGGGATCTGAAAATTAGATCCCCCCCATAGACCCATAATAACCCCTCTAATCCCGATATAGTTCACGGGGGTCTAATTTCTAAATCTGGGCTCTCAGCTTCCAAGCAAACGAAACGAGGTGTGAAGGCAAACCTGCTGACCAGAGCTCTGACTGTTATAACCCCAACTATATACCCCATTATAAGTTTCCATGTTTTGTTCCATTCTTCCTATACTATCTCAATATTATCCTATGTTACCATCCCTATATGCAATGAGCCCCCCCCGCCTGCAAGGACTTTCAGTGCAAGAAGCTGAAAGCTCTCTGCAGCCAGGATGTAGTGCAGGTGGGCACATCCGCCACCCATGCGTGCCGTTTTACACTTCACGCACACGGCCCGGAGCTAGCAGCTTCAGCTGGGCGCGGTACGCCGTCACAGGGTCAGCGCAAGGCCTCCTCTGAACCAACAGCTCTAGGGCCTCTTCCGGTGTAAAGCCCCGGCGCTGTATCAAAAAAGCTGCCACCACAGTCACACTTCGATTCACTCCCAGGCGGCAGTGGACCAATACCTGTGTTGCTGTTAGGGGACTTTAATGAAGTTACCAGAATACAGGTATGTAGCACATAATGGGGTTTCGTCATTATAGTAACCCTAAACACAAACCCCTAAATCCCAAACCCTACATACCCTTATCATACTAACTTACTTCAACCTCCTTACCATAAATGGGCAATTCTATAGCAATAAATAGGGGGTTCCTATACTATAGTAATTTAATTCAAGTTCCTGAACTCCCTAAACCCTAATCCCTAAATCCCTAAAACCTATAATCCCTAAATCCCGAATCCCTAAATCCCTAATCCCTAAACCCTAAATCCCTAAACCCTAATCCAAAAATCCCTAAACCCTATAATCCCTAAATCCAACTCTAATCCCTAAATCCCTAAACCCTAAACCCAGGTACTTTTCCGCGCACGAGGCCGGCCTCAATAAAGTCGAACCAACGCCCCCGAAGCTCCTTGAACAGCTTGGTCTCATGTTCACTAACAGCTTAGGGTTTAGGGGTTAGAGCTTTAGGGTTTGGGGCTTGGGGCTAGGGTCTAGGGCTTACTACGCGGGGACATGGATTTAGGGTTTAGGAATCTTACGACATGGGGGTATATATATATATAAGCTTAGTCTGAAGGCAGATATGTAATATTTGTAGACATATATATGTATATAGGGACATATAAATATTATGGTATGGGGATATCTAATAAGACATAGGGATATATAGATAGCTTACTACCTGGGGATATATATATAATGTAAGGTATAGGGATATATCTGAGCGTTACATCAATAATTGATGGAGAATCAAGTGGAAAAGCAAATGGAACATGATTAGTCCAAACTCCTAGTATCCCCCTTAATAAGATCTATAGTAGTCCCCTATACAATCCCATATATAATTCCATTTAAGGAGTTTAGACTATAGCTCAAATGGGGACTGACTTCACTCTGCAACAGCTATGCAGGCTGAGTAGATGAGAGGTTGCCTGGCTCGGATTCATAAATGGGTGTTTCCAAAAAATTAGGGGTACCTTTTTGGGGGTCCCAATAAGAAGAGTGATCGCATTTGCAGGTTTGTGTTGGGGTCTCCCTGTTTGGAGAAACTACCAGATTTCTATTCATGGACATTGTGGCTCCTCAGACAGCTCGGTTCGCCCATGGTCATCTAGAGGAATCGACATGGTCTCGATGCCATTGAGGATGTAGGGCTCTGTCCGCATGGGGCTTCGGCCCATAGGCATCTGCTCAGCTTCTTCCTGATCTTCACTACGGCTCTGCTCCTCAGCTAAGGCACTAGCCAAAGCTGCAAAAATGGCCGGGGTCACCGAGCCAGCTACGTCAAGTATAAAGCCAATACCCCGAGAGTTGGGGCCGGTTGTAGCTTCTACTGCCGCATCGGCACTTCCCACAAAGAGCTTGTCAATGATTTCGTGTGCGTCCGGAAGAGCTTCTGCCCCAACAGGATCCTCTGATTGTTCTGCCTCTATCAGAGGTCTTGCAGCACTCATCGCAAGAAGCTAGGCAGGAAATGGGAAATGATGCCAAAATACGGACACAGGCCATGCACATACGTCTATCTATCTACAACACCATCAGACCTCGTTGGAAGAACAATGCTTCCAGAACAGGATAGAGAAGGAGAGAAAGCTGCAATTGCCAGGCCGCTAGGTAACACCTTGGGGTACTGGTCTTCTGTTCAAAGCTGAGTGGCAGATGGCTGAAACATACATGAAGAATTCCCCAAGTTCTACTCGTTTGACCGTGTTGGATGCAGGATTCAGAAAAACAGCATTGTAGTTCAAGGCATGTCTCAAACAATGCAAAGACACCTTCATTGCATGCTGGTCCGCGGCCCCCTGATTTTTTCTGCACTCAACTACTAGCCGTCAGAAGCCGCGGTGAGTGCGGCGGAGAACGCCTGCAACTGGTGGGAAGGGAGTGATTTACAACGGCTATCTGCTACGAAGGACGACTTTGATGACGGTTACTCACCATTTTCCTGGACAGAATATTACATGCGGCAAAGGAATACAAAGCAACAATAACAGGAGCACAAAGGACTAGCAGTAGTAGTCACCTCATTGGGCTTGGGCTACCTCAACATGAGTTTTTGCGGTCTGGTTAGGGACCCTAAGCCCAATCCTATTGCAAGAATGTCTTCGTGTGCCGCAGCCTGAAAGGTACACTTGCTGGTGCTTCGGTGCAACAGCGTAACTATACTGCTTTAATTTAAAGGAGTTTATAGGAAATCGTGCAGGGAACCGCTCCCCCTAAACCCTAAACCCTAAGTCCTAAACCGCTCCCCTTCAAAATTCAGTAGAGCAAAGCCTCACGGCTGTTCTCAAAGGCTTCCAGGGGTGTCCTCAAGGCTCCAACCTCGGCGGACAAGAGCGTCTGCCCATACATGCTAATCCTAGTTTAGGGTTTAGGGTTTAGGGTTTAGGGTTTAGGGTCAGGGCATATATTGGGGTTATATAGGGATAATGGAAAATAAAATGGAAACTACTATAGTATCATAGGGTATATATATATATTGGGGTTATGTAGGGATAAGGGAAAAGAAAATGGAAGCGACTACTATTAGCATAGGGTATGTCTTCGGATTATAATAGCTAAGGAGCAAGGGATCATATGAGCTATGGTCTAAACTCCTGGTATCCGCCTTAGTAACCCATAATACTCCCCTATATAATACTGTTTAATCAGGAGTCTAGACGGTAGCTCACATGCGGATAATTAGTATGCAGAACATATGTCTCTGGCATTATGTATGTGCTGATATGAGCTCTGGACTAGACTTATAGTTTGTAGTATATTCATGAAAGGTTCCCCCAACTTAACTGTAGTCCGTAGCTCATATGGTACATGGACCACAAGAAATAATGAGCTGCATGTATGCAGGGATATATGGTAGTTTCCCAAAATTAAGGTACCCCAACATAGACCCCAAATACTATAGTCCTTATTATGCGGGGCCCCCAAACGGGTACCCCTAAATTTGGGAAACCCCCATATCCACTTTTTTTGACGTGAAGGCTCCGCACCGCTTGGGCCGAATCTGCAACCGCGGACAGCGCGGCGTCCATGGTCTGTCAGGCCGGTGCATGTTCAGCTACTACAATCCCAATTTATACCCTGTTATCATACTAGTAACTTCCTTTCTTCATTATCCCTTCTTACAGTATAACCCCAATATATGCCCTACTTATGATTTTGAGTGTACCCATTAAAGCAATGACGCAATAAAGCCAATCATGATGACCATCTGCCCCAGCGCTGCTCTAACCTGAGAAATTTCGTCTGGCACGGCACAAGGCTCGCAGGCAGCCTGATATTCGATGCAGTGCAAAGATATTCAACACATTATGTGCTCTCATTAAGCAGCTGCTGCTGTGACGTGGCCGCTGCTGCTGCTGCTGCTGCTGTTGCTGGGACTACTGCTACTTCTGCTAGGTTACCTTGCAGGTCGCCTGCGAAGATTCGCACAAAACGCTACTGTAATTAAGTCTCGAATGCTGCTACTAGCATGCCTCCTCTTCTTCCGACTACTACGACCACGGCCTACCAGTAGCTCAGTAGTAGTACCAAATGATTCCTGCGCTAGTACCAGCACGAGTAATACTAGTGCTGCTGCTCCTTGCGATTCTACTGCTACACCTGCTCTTCCTGCTTTTTCAGTTGGTGCACCTTCACCAAACCCCTTTGCAGTACCGGCGCAAACACTCACACAAAGCTGATTAGTAGCACGTTGCCTGCGCTTGCCTGTCGGATCCTACTTCACCAGGCCTGACCACCCTCCACAATAAGCCACGCGGCGGCGACTGCCGCTGAAGTTGAGCGTCCTGACATCATCCCCTTCCGAAAGCGCGTCTTGGTAGGACCACAGTTGAACCTATGACAATTCTTAATCTGTATCGTCCTGAAATGTGACCTATGTGACCTTTCCATTCCGGCTGCACATGAGGTGTTGCCATGTGCATTCATGCGCTCTCGGCGAAGTCCTCCATACATTAAACGCCTTCACATCGTGCTGCAGGCAGCTTGCTACGCTGAAGTGCACGGCAGTCCATCGTGGCAAATCACGACGGCGCTCTCCTCGCCGGGCTTGAACCTGGCATTTTCACACCATTCATAAGCGACCGAGGACATTCAAACCAATTGGGCAGAGAGCACGAGAAGACGCCGCCAGAGACGTGTGCGTACATGATAGGAAAGCCAAGACTGCTGTATGGTGAAGCTGGGATGGGTTCAAACTGAGGGTGAGGTGCCAAAGCTACTGCCACATCTCATCAGAAAATGCGGGATCACGCATGGTAGAAATGCGCCCGTGCTGGCATGACTTGATAGCTAAATGTCAGGATGGTAACAGAATACAAATGCCTCGAATGCGGCCAGTTGAGCTGACGTTTGCCCGTGTGACTGGATGGTTAAACCAAAATGTCCCGCTAGATCTCTCACACAAATTCCATCTACAGCCCTGAAGGCCATGTCTCGAAATCATGCAATGATTTAGCACCCTCTAAAGGGCCTCTGTTTCCAGCTTTTTTGGGGGGTGTGGTGCAGGAAGCATCCACTGCCACTGCCTCGATGAACACTGCCAGTTGATGGGAAGCAACTACATCTTTCAGTTTCGAACGTTGGGGTTTAGGATTGAGGGTAACGACTTTACACCTTGGGGTTATCCCTTATAACTACCCTTTTAAATGGGGAACTAGGAGCAGGGGGCTTGGCACAGCAGGCTATCAGGGGAACCCACAATTCCTCAACCACACTTGCATGCGAGTCTCTAGCACACCTAAAGCGCCCCCCTTTATCCCAAAATGCTGCAGCCGGTATGGCGGCAAACCCTGGGAAAGCCCCCCATGAATTGAAAGGATGTTTCAGATCATCCCTGAACCCTAAACCCTTCCCTTGAGAGGTCGGCCCGCGGATGGTGCGGAGAGATGCTGCGAGCGCAGATGGGCTCAGAGGCGATGCCTCTGGATTTCATGGGATTTACGGTTTAGGATTTAAGGGTTTTGGGTTAAGGATTTAGGGAGTACTGTTTTAGGGTTTGGCGTTTAGGGCTAGGGGGGTTAAGGTCCAGGATCTGGGGATATTCCTCCCAGAATGGAATATGGAAAAAACGACGGAGTTTAGGGCTGAGGGAAACCATTTCAAATAATGGAGAACCAGAAGGAAAAGAACATGGAGAATTAACTAATTAGGAACCCGTCGCTTTAATATGACCGGACTGGGGTCCTGATTACATGTGTTGGGCTTACCAAAAACTTTTCGGAATTCAAGGCTTGGGACCTTTGTGGGCAAGATTATGGAATGCACAGCGAATATGTCGGGACCAAACCCTAATACAAATCTTATTCAATATCACTTCGAGCATCCCCGCCCCGTCCCAGAGCTGACAGTCCATGACAGTCCATAAATCGGTTTAGAAAGTTATCACCAATTGGTCGTTGCAGATGTGACTTGTGCGCGTCAGGGGCGTTTCTCGACAGATACGTCAGCCTTCATAATTTACAACGTTTGGGACGCTGATCTTTTTAGCGGCGGACGCAGTTGACAGAACACCCGGAATGCTGGGTTGCCACAGAAGCCTCAAAACGCGACCGCGTGCGATTTCACGCTTGCAGACAAAAACGCTGATTTCAACAGAGCCACAGGTCAGATATGTTTCATTGCTATGAAGGACAGGGATGCTTTGTGCAGATCCAACTAAAAACATGGACACGCGGGCTCTGTTGGTAGGCCTTCGGAATGCTGGCTTTCAATTGAAGCATCACTAGGAGACCAGTTGCGATTTGAAGCCTTCCTACTGGTAGGGACGCCCTGCGCAAAACCAATTTGAAACATGTGCACGTGGACCCTGTTGGCAAGTCCACGGAATGCTTGCCGGCCATTACTTCCTTGCATTTCAAATAGGCGGAGGAGCGGAGAGTTGCGTGGAGCCGAATGTTTTCTATTTTGGTTTTATTTCAGGCTTGGTGGGGCTGTGTGCCCAACACCAATAAGTAACTGGGTTTTTGCGCGCAAACCACACATCCCAAATCCTGAGTCCTGAGCCGTAATGCAAAACACACCGCACATGAAGCCCTTCCCTATGCCTATACAAAATTGCGGCCAATGCCCAACCCTAAAACTAAACACAGGTTCCAGGCATGGCCCCTACACTAAAATAAAACGCATGGCCTGGATGCTGGCGATGAAGCATTTCAGTTGCTCTCGCCAGACAGCAAGCTGGCTAGGGGGCTTGTGTGCTCAGGCCAAGCATGTCCGAGTTTGGATGTGAGCCATGCGTGCCACCATGGGCTGGCTAGCACCTCATCCAAGACCACTCGTGCTCTAAACTGGGCAAGAGCAGATGAAGTGCTTTGCCATGCCTCGCCCACGGATGGCTTGCTTTCACTGCCTGGGCTAGCTTGCTGGCCCAAAGTGAACATGTGGGACCTCCACTGGCTGATTTTTTGGGGGCCAAGATTATTTCGGCGCAGTCGGAGGCCTGGGACCTCGA